GTTTTTGATTAAATATATTTCAATAAATAAAACGTCCCGTTATAAGTAATAATTTTATCATTTCCAACGAAAAACCAATCGATTCGTAAAATTCGAATAGGGCTCTTTCTGACACACACATAAGTACATAATAGAATAATTTTAAATACTAATCTCGTATTTTGGAACCTGGAGGTACCATTAAACATTTTGTTTGTATCATTTTACTTGGTATAGTCACAGACGAGCTTTACATTTCGATATACTGAAGGTTTGACAATATTGTAATGAACAAAAAATCACATTTCTGGCGCATTCACTAGTTCCCCAACTCACCGTTATCTGAACGTAGAGGGCGCTAAAAACCAGTGATTTTTTTTTTACTATGTCGGTATTTCAGGTCTCGAGCCACGAAATCCCGTAAGATGCTTGGTCTATTCATTTACCTCGTCTGTGATTTAAACCACGGTGAATTGAGGAACTACATCAAGTACAAAACGATCAAAGTTGGTCAAGTAGTGAAGAAATATGATTTTTGAAACTCAATAGAATGTTGTCAAACCATCGCGAAGTCTTCTTCGCGTTATTGTTATTAATTATTAATGTAACAAAATATATTACTAATTTGTCAATAAGTAATAACTACATCTTTCATAGCAACAAAGTCAGAGAGTATCCGTCTTCTCTACTACGAAATGCTCAAACAAAATCATTTTAATAATAATTATTTAGAATTTTCAATCTATTCAAATAGATTTTCGTATGAATATTTTGCTTTCGCAAATATTTATATTGAATATATTTTGATTCAAGTAATTACTATAATTGTATATATTCAACTTGTTAAAATCGTGATGTACAAGAAACTCTATCCTTATGAATACACAAAAAAACCTGAAAAAAGTGTTACTACTCTCGGATGTAAAAAAAAAACTGCGGTCACTATACTCATCAAAAATTCTACGTATACAGCCAGTCACCCAGATCTTTCGTCTTATGACATGGTTGAGTGACCGGAAGAATATAAATGCAACTTACGGGATAGATGTGAAGAACGTTATCACTGGAGCTGCACTGGAGCTGAGAAAGTTATCGTGAAGACCATCATTAAGTAGATACCACTGAGAATCCCATAGTAGAAGTGAACGCTGTGAAAAATTTCTTAAAAGACATAAAATATTTTCTTTCTGAAGACACAATTTTATTTGTGAAAATTTAAATTCTAATAGTGATAAAAATTGGGACTAATAATTCGAAGTGTAGTTTATTTTATAATTGTAATTTTACACTCGACTTAAATACAATTTAAGTACATGTCAAAGTACTTACATTCTTAACTTTTGAAGTATCGTAAAATTCTTGAAGAATAAGGGGTACTGGAGACTATAGAGAATCTGTAACAAAACATAAAACAGAATTTGTATTTAAAAGCAAAGCAGAATCTTAAGTTCGAAATAATGAAAGATTCTTACATCCTTGGCTCTGGAGCCACCGTTAGATTTCCCCCCAAAAATCAAAAAAAGAAAAAAAAATTAATGCTAAGAAGCGTCTGTAACAAACATCAAACATTATACTTTGTTGTTTAATTTGAAAAATTGAATAAATTAAGATACGATATATAAAACTACTTACCATCTTAATCTCCAGGAGAGACCTTATCCTGTTAAGCACTAACTCTAATAGCGAAAACGAATATTGAACAAAAGAAAATACACAATACAAAATACAAAAATACCAAAAAATAAAAAAAATAAAAGACTATCAACGCGCGCGTTTAAGTAACAATCGGCGGACTCAC